TACTTCTCTCCAAAAATCTCACCCATAACCATTGTATTTTAATTTTTGGCACTAGTGATGGAATGTCATTGCCATCCCTGTGAGATGTTAGACAATTAAGTTACATTTACATGACAGGAAAAACAAAGTGAAAGATTACCATTGTAGATTATTTTGTAGAAGTAAAGAAAGTGAACCAGAAAGGAGAGAAGAGACTACAAACACAGAAGAATGTCTGGCAGCAAAGAAAGGAAGAGTCAGGGAGAGCCTAAGGAAGGTAATGAAGCAGTCTGAAGAAATAAGTAATTAAAATATCAGCAACCAAAAAGGATAGTATGAGAGGATAATTATGTTAAAATTGATAGCAAATTAGAATAGAGAGAGGGAAGCTGTTAAATTTGTCCAGGAAGAAGCATATATGGTGTTTAGAAAAGGTATAACAACCTGAAAATACAAACCTATAATGAAAATTCATCAACTATAATTGCTATATAGTTGTATAGTAGCACTATGATTATAGTATATGTGTAAGTGGTCTGGATAAAAAAATTAGGACAATCAAAATATTTATACAGGTGTAACATTATAGTCGGCATTTACAATTGTTGCTGTTACCTTTGATGTTGCTTTTGTTTATAGTCAGAAATGGAAAATCCTAAATTTAGTTTATTTATGAGAAAAGAGCATCAAATTCATGATTTTGAGTAAAGGAGCATAACTTTCTTAGAATGTCTGCATTTTAATTTTTATTATGTACTTTATTCTTTCGTCTAGCTGTGGTTAAACAAGACACAACTTCATTAACTGATGCTGTAGAGCAAGTTGCAAAGCAACAGCAATCTCAAACATCTGAAATAGAAAAAAACAAAAAAGTTCTCTTCCATTTGCAGGTAACTTATTTCATAGTCTTTTAAATGAGTTTTTATTTTCTTTAAAACTGTATTAAGTTAGTGCCAGGGACGTTATTAAGGATACTTAATTTGGGGAGGCAGTTTTAAATTCATATGTTTCGTATTTACTCTCTCAATTACTCTGTAAGTAAAGTCTATGTGAGTATTCCAGTTTCATGCTCCTACCATACAAAGATTCAGCAATGTCATTGTGACTGTAATACAAGCATATAAAACCTAAGATGTACATAATAAAGTCACCAAGAATCATTTTAAATCCACATTTAGTTGATAGTTGTTTTTTTTCCCTAAATGCTGAATTGAAGGAAGATTAAGGTTTTAAGTCAGTGATTTTAAAGTTATGGCTTCTGAGTCACAGGTTGTCAGTGAACATTTCAAGTAGCCTTCCTCTGTATTCCTTACCTTTCATAATGTATTCATAATTTCACTACAGGGAATCTGGGAGCCATACTTGGTCTTTACATGAAGCATAAGTAAATCTAACTATACTCTGTGAAAGGAGCCCTGGTGGTGCTGGGCTGCTAACCAAAAGGGCACCAGTTCGAACCCACCAGCCACTCCGTGGGAGAAGGATGTGGCAGTCTGCTTCTGTAAAGAATTTATAGCCTTGGAAACTGTATGGGGCAATTCTACTCTGTCCTATAGGGTTGCTCTGAGTTAGAATCGACTCGATGGCAGTGGGTTTTGTACACTCTGAATATAGCTGAAGAAACCAAAATTAAAACAGCATCTCTACTATGTGCTTCGTAAAGGTTATTATTAAGTATATGTTATTAAAATAGGCTCTGGAGCTAAACTGCTTAGTTTCAAAGATCAAAAGAGGAAGACCCTCAACAAGATGGACTGACGCAGTGGCTGCAATGATTGGCTGAAACATAGCAACAATTGTGAGGATGGCACAGGACCAGGCAGCATTTTCTTCTGTTGTCCATAGGGTCACTATGAGTTGGAACTGACTTGACGGCATCTAACAACAACAACAAGCCATATTAAGTAATTTATAAGTGCAATGGGAAGCCACTGGAGAATCCATGCTACAAAGATTTGTCAGAAGTGGATTTGGGATTTTATTTTGGAGGTCCAGCTGTCAGGATTTGCTGTTGAATAGGTTATGGGAGGCAAGGGAAAGGGAGGAATCAAGAATGACTTCTAGGTTTTTAAGCATCCAAGTGGAAAGTGGTGCATTTTATTGAAAACAAGACGACGGGGAGGAACAGATTTGGTGTGTGAATTAAATGTTCTTTGGCAAACTTCTATAGTTGAGATGTCTACTAGATATCCAAATAGAGATTTCAAGTGGACATTTGAAATACCAGAACTTGGGATAAAAATTGAGGTTCATCAGCACGTTGCATTTGTCAGTATATTGGCCTCTCTTGTCTCTGTCAGGAAAGGGACAGATGGGATCTGCCTTCTTAGCACAGTGCCTCCCTCCCAAAGTTCTATAAAAATTATTTCAAGAGATTGACCATATTTGATAGAAAAAAGAGGAATGGAGGATGAATTGCAGTTATTTTGGTGAGAGGATCTATAGAATATGACAAACAGTTAAGAATAGATAATGAAGATGTTGTTAGTTGCTGAAGAGTTGATTCTGACTCATAGTGACCCCATGTGTGAGTGGAACTGCTCCATAGGGTTTTCAAGGCTGTGACCTTTTGGAAGCAGATTGCCAAGCCTTACTTCCAAGGTGCCTCTGGGTAGGTTTGAACCACTATCCTTTCAGTTAGTAGTCTAGCACTTAAACCATTTGCTCCACCCAAGGACTCCCTAGATAATAAGGAGAAGGGAAAAATTAAGGATTGCTCTCAAGGTGGTACCATTAGCTAAGTTTGGGAATATAGGAGTGTTGTAATTTGCATTTTTAGTCTCAATTCTTCATCCCTCCCTGTATCGACATCTTTTACAGTGTATCTTTGCAATGCCCTCCCACAGTGGGTGGGCATACTTCCTCACCCCTTGACTCTAAGCTTGATCTTGTGACTAGCTGAGATGTTAGCAGATGTGGGCTCCCACTGTTCTGCATCTGCCATCATCATGAGAAGGACAAGCCTGCACTGGCCCACTAGAGGTTAAGATACAGGAGAGGTAAAGCCAGGATACCCGAGTCAGCCCAACTGAAGCCAGTCTAGATCATCTGGCAGCCAGCCAGCCCCTAGACATTTGAACAAACACAGTCAAGATCAGGAGAACCACCTAGCAAACCCCAGCTAATCCCAGTCATGTGAGCAATAAACACTTAACGTATGTCACTGAAGTTTGGTGGTTGTGGCAACAGATAACTGATACAGGGGGTAACAAGTTTTGGGGACAGGGACTTAGTCCAATTTTTGGACATGATCAATTTGAGATGTGCAGTGGCATCTGGGTCTAGAACTCAATATCCACTTATTTCTGTGAATTACCAGCATATAGGTCAGGAAGCTGAGCTGTTAGGTGTCAGAGTAGCCAATTAAAACACTGAGCCAAATTGAAAGTTAAGCATTTAATCACTTACTGCAATCATATAAGCGAGAGATAAAACCTGAAAAAGGGGCTGTCTCTTCCCTCCCATAGTTGCCCAGAAATGACATCTGGGCAAGAGTGAAGTGGATCGGCACAGATGTGGGGACCCATCTCACTGCCAAGGGATCCCTGAACACAAGGCTCCTGTGGTTTGATGGACTCAGGTCAGGAGGAGGGCGAACGGGAAGGGCTAGTAGTGGAAAAATATTGAGTTGGGAATCAGAGTTTGGAAAAGTGTCTTCAAGATTACCCCCCCACCCCCCACCCCCCACTTCTGCCTGATAAGGTGACTTCAGCAGAGGCACCTGAGGAAGGCCTCTGCCCCAATTAAAAGGCCTTAGCTGCCTGGGTTAGGAATGCAGATATGCAAAAGGGCATGGGGTTGGGGTGGAGTCAGGGGAGATGACTCCCTGATGGCAGCTCCTTCCAGAGCCTGCAGTGCACTGGCTGTGCACCAAGTCTGATTCAGGAGGCAGCTTGCCCCCTGAGGCCTGCCAGGTAAAGCCCTTGTAATCGCCTGTGTTCCAGCCTGAAAGATCACACATAGGTTTTTGGCCAGGAGCTGGACTCATCAATAGATGTAGCTCAGAATGTGAATATAGATGAGATTACCCAATGAATATATGTAGAATGGAGAGGAAATTATGGGACTGCACCCTGAGGAAGACCTATATTTGATGGAACCATTGAGATTGAGAAGGAACGCTCCAAGATGCCTGAGGAGAACCAGAGAAGAGCGGTGGTGTGAAAACTCTTCTTTAATAAGAAAGTACTGCTCAGCACTGCAGATGCCCCAGAGAGGCAAGGTAGAGGACTTCATATGCATTTTACAAACGCAGAAAGTGAGGTTTTGATAGGGTAATTGAGTTTCTCATGGCTGATCCTTCTAACCAGTAAATAGCAGTAAGGGAGCCAGGACCTTCATCTTTTGATTCTTAACCTAGGGCTTTATTATTTACATCATACTGTCTTTCTTCAGTGTGATTTCTGATGCTCAGAAACATATTATTAAAATGATTGTAAAATATCTTTTACATTTAAAATGTTAAGACAAATTAATATAATTTTAATATTTAGAATTAGATGAGCATTAAAGAAATAAGAACCAAACAACTCTGGGCTTCCTCTGAGATTACAAAATAATTTTGTTACTGTAATTACCTGTTTCCTTCTATTATGCATCAGTTTTTCTATATCTGATAAATATACATTTTTTATGTTAAGCAGTTTTCCTACATGCATTATGGATCAAAACAATGACTTTCCTTTTATGTTTAATATCATGAATTAATAATGATAATATTGATATATATTACAGAATGAACTTCATGAGCTTGAAAAACAAATAGCATCTGTCTCCGCAGAAACTAAAGAAATAGGAAGGCAAATTTATCAGCAAGATGCTGCCATAGAGAACACCAAACTTCAGTGCAGAAGCCTGGAAACTCAAGTCATATCCTTACATACAGAAAATGTAAAGCTTAAATTTGACATAGAAGCAGCTCAAGAAGATTTTGAGGAACACATGATAAGATATAATGCATATTATGCAAAAATAAAGGCACATAAAGATAGTTTGGAAGAGATAGAAAGCAAATGGTCATTCATGATTGAACTCAATGAAAAACGAGATCTTGTTAAAAAACTAATGACAATGAAAGAGGAACTTACGCGAGATCTCCGAAATCCAGAAGGAAACCGCATAAAGCAAGTACAGGTTTGAAATATCATTTATCACATTTTTTTCATTACCCCGTTTTTGCAAGTACATTTATTAGATGATACATTTATCATTAAATTACCAAAATACCCATAGCTTCTCTAACTGCATTCAGAAACTGTTTTCAAAATTTTTAAAATCTTAGACAAGTACATGAATTATGTAGCACCTATGCCAAATATGCAAATGCCTAAAGGAAACAGCCCCAAACCCCCTATGGATTTATAAAAATATATAGTCAAACAAAATCACAGGGAACAATTAATCCATTTGTTGCAGAAAGTGTGACTCACAAAAATGATGAAGCACTAGCTTCTAGGCTAATGGGATCCAGACCAATTCAAATCAATTTAGTATGCCTAATGCTGTTATGCAAACAATATGAATTAATAACTGTACCTTAAGCATCTTTCTATTCCTCTTTCTATTCTTTAAAGAAAGTGGGAGATACCAAATTAAAACATCTATCATTTCTTGCTAGAGAATTAAAAAATATCCTTTATACTGTTGCTGGACAATTGCCACTGTGATGACCACTTTCCCTTATGTGTTAACTTTCATTGGGATTTTAGTTCTAAGTTTTTATATCTAAGCTTTGTTTATTTGAATGATAGTTCTTTATTCTGTATACCTAAAAATAGAAGTAATATTCTAATCTTATTAAAATTAAATCTGATGGCTAGTTTTCTTAAATTACAGAAACACTGAAAATCTTAGATTTATATTGGCCATTCTTTGTTTGACTTATTTTACATTTTTTAAACATACAGGAAGATATTACAAAGCTAAGCAATACAATTATAACCATAAAAGAATCTATCGTTGAAAAAACTTGTGTCCTTGAGAAAGAAAAAAAGATACATGAAAAATTAAGAAAAGAAATAGAGGTAAGTTTTTATTATCTGGATTTCACTGTTTTATGGGCCCATTTCTTAAACTTATACTATATGTATATTTCTATGGTTTATTATTCTCAAAATGTTAAAGAACAAAAAAACTACAAAAAGTAATAGATATGTCCAGATGATTGATAGAAATAAGTCCCTCATTCAAAGATATTCAAATATGTTAATGTATTCAAACAAAGTAAGCACTCACTGCTACTTAAATTTGGCCTAGAATTCTTGCGATCTCATTCCACCAGCAACTTGGTACCTAATCAGTGGCTAGAGAGCAGAGGCTATAAAGTCAAAAAGGATGACCATTCCTAGGTAGACACCAGAGACCCCTCAAAACAGAGTAAAAGACAATAGAAGTTATTGGTATTCTAGATAACTCTGATTTCATATTTGCAATTATCAAGAGTCAAGTTAAAAAAAAAACTGGATAGGCAAAATTGAAAGTGAGATTAAATTTTTAGAGTTGTGTTACCAATGACAGACTTCTACAGTTGTTATTGTTTAAATGAATGGTGAACAAAAATGGAGAATATGTAGTTAAGGGCAAATAAAAAATACCTTTCACTTTTAAGACATTAATTTGGAAAATAAGGAGATATATGTTTTCAACTTATTTGTGACTAATTCAACAATAAAAAAGCATCTGAGAAATTTATATTATTTATGTAATCGGGTAGTTTTTTGCTCTTCTAGATAACAAGATTTATAAAACTATAAATAGTAAGACAGTGTATAATTGGCACAGAAATAGGAAAAAATAATTAACGAAACAGAAAAAGACAACTCAGAAATAACTCATGTATAACTGGCAGAAACAAAATAATACATTAACCATATGGAAAAATAAAGAAAATTTTAAAATAAAACAAAATTGGCCATACCTCATAACACACACATACATACACACACATTATTACAGTTCTTGGAGGATTGAAGACAACTATTTGTGTCAGAGAAGTATTTCTTCATAAAGACAAGCACACACACACACACACACACACACACACACACACACAAACCACATGATTAAATAGTTTTATATCTGACTATATCATGAGTTTCAAGCTTTTTGAAATTCATCATAACATTAGAGATAAGACTTAGTTCAAGAGGAAACATTTCTAACACATACACGTGACTAAGTGATAAGAAAATGTTAAGCCAGTAGAACATTGAGTAAATGCTATGAAAAGTTTTTTTTTTTTTTTTTTTTTTGAAATATGACTATTCAAGAAACAATGGAAAAGGGGACCAAAATGGATGTCACAAGACCCTCTAAAACTTGCTCTTGAACATAAAGCAGCTAAAACGAATGGAAGAAATGATGAAATAGAAGAACTGAACAGAAGATTTCAAAGGGTGGCTCAAGAATACAAAGTAGTATGATGAAGTGTGCAAAGACCTGGAGTTACAAAACCCAAAAGGAAGAACACGCTTGGCATTTTGCAAGCTGAAAGAACTGAAGAAAAAATTCAAGCCTTATAAAAATGGTTTGGGGGAGGTGTTTGACCTCCTACAACCCCACAAGGGGGAAGGAGAACCAAGATCAACAGCACAACCTGACAGAGACTGGAGAAACCTCAAGAGTGTGGCCCCCGGACACCCTTTTAGCTCAGTAATGAAGCCACTCCCGAGGTTCACCATTCAGCCGAAGATTAGACAGCCCCATAAAACAAAACGAGATTAAGGGGGCACATCAGTCCAGGGACAAGGACTAGAAGGCAGGAAGGGACAGGAAAGCTGGTAATAGGGAACCCAAGGTTGAGAAGGGACAGTGTTGACATGTTGTGGGGTTGTTAACCATTGTCATAAAACAATATGTGTACTAACTGTTTAATAAGAAACTGTTCTGTAAACCTTCATCTAAAGTACAATTAAAAAAAAAAAGATCAACAGCCCCAAGGCTGATTCCTGTAAGGTGGAGTTCAGACACGCCTCCTCTCTCCACCATCTCTACCAATTCTGACACCAACCGTCCCTCCCACAGCACTTCCTACTAGGTTCAATAATTCATTGCAGTGGCCACACAGAACTCACAGACCATACTCAAAATTATGGCATTCATTAGGGAAGTAACAGTTACAGTTCAGGCTCAGGAGCACTCAAGATACAGTTTGTCCATCAGGATAGCCTCTTCCCAGCTGTGCTTGTAGGCATGCCTCTCCCTGGCCTTCAGTCTCTGCCCAGAGGCACTCAGCTTTCTCTCTCTGTGGGCCCGGAAGCCCACCACACCATCTCCTGCTGCTGGGTTCTGCTGCTGGGTCTCTCCTGCTGGTCTCTTCTTCCTTGGTGGTGGTGGGCTCCTCCCATCTGCTCTAGAATTGGCTCTCTTTTAAGGCAAAACTGACTAATCCCTTGAATTACCCTATCACACAGTCCTGCCCAGTCACCTGGGTGGGAGTTAGAAGACCATGGCTAGAAAGGCCACACAAAAGTAATCAGTAATGAATCACACCACAAGCCTCGAGTTGCAATATTGAAGGAATCTGTGGGCAAAATATTGAACGATGGACAAAGAAGAAGATGGAAGGACTATACAGTCACTGTACCGAAAGGAATTGGTCCACATTCAACCATTCAGGAGGCAGTATATGGTGAAGAACTGATGGTATTGAAGGAAGAAGTCCAAGCTGCGGTAAAGGCATTGGCAGAAAAACAAGGCTCCAGGAATTGACAGAATACCAATTGGGATGTTTCAACAAACAGATGCAACACTGGAAGTGCTCACTCTTCTATGCCAAGAAATTTGGAAGACAGCTGCCTGGCCAACCGACTAGGAGATATCCATATTTGTGCCCGTTCTAAAGAAAGATGATCCGACAGAATGTGGAAATTATCTAACAATCTCATTAATAGTACACACAAGTAAAATTTTGCTGAAGATCATTCAAAAGCAGTTGCAGCAGTACATCAACAGGGAACTGCCAGAAATTCAAGCCAGATTCAGAAGTGGAACGAGGGATATCATTGCTGATGTCAGATGGATCCTAGCTGAAAGCAGAAAATACCAGAAAGATATTTACCTGTGTTCTATTGACTGTGCAAAGGCATTTAACTCTGTGGATCATAACAAATTATGGATAACATTGCGAAGAGTAGGAATTCCAGAACACTTAATTATGCTCATAAGAAACCTGTACACAGACCAAGAGACAGTTGTTCGAACAGAACAAGGGTATACTGCGTGTTTTAAAGTCAGGAAAGGTGTGTGTCAGGGTTGTATCCTTTCACCATACTTATTCAGTCTGTATGCTGAGCAAATAATCCAAGAAGCTGGACTATATGAAGAAGAACATGGCATCAAGATTGGAGGAAGACTCATTAACACCCTTCAATATGCAGATGACACAACCTTCCTTGCTGGAAGTGAAGAGAATTTGAAGCACTTACTGATGAAGATCAAAGATCCCAGCCTTCAGTATGGATTACACTCAACATAAAGAAAAACCCCAAAAAAATACTCACAACTGGACCAATAAGCAACATCATGATAAACGGAGAAAATATTGAAGTTGTCAAGGATTTCATTTTACATGGATCCACAGTCAGCGCCCATAAGAAGCAGCAGTCATGAAATCAAATGACACGTTGCATTTGGCAAATCTGCTGCAGAAGACCTTTAATGTATTAAAAAAGCAGATATGTCATTTTGAGGAGTAGAGTGTGCCTGACTCAAGCCTTGGTGTTTTCAATTGCCTCATATGCATGTGAAGGCTGGAAAATGAATAAGGAAGACCAAAGAAGAGTTGATGCCTTTGAATTAAGGTGTTGACAAAGAATATTGAATATACCATGGACTTCCAGAAGAAAGAACAAATCTGTCTGGAAGAAGTACAGCCAAAATGCTCCTTAGAAGTGAGGATGGCGAGACTTTGTCTCACGTACTTTGGACATGTTATCAGGAGGGACCAGTCCCTGGAGAAGGACATCATGGTTGGTAAAGTAGAGGGTCCACAAAAAAGAGAAAGACCCTTAACTAGATGGATTGACACAGTGGTTGTAACAATGGGCTCAAACATAGCAATGATTGTGAGGATAGCGCAGGACCAGGTAATGTTTCGTTCTGTTGTACCTGGGTCACTATTAGTTGAAACCGACCTGATGGCACCTAACAACAACAACAGTAATAATTAAAACCACAATGAGGCCCCATATAAAGCTCACCAGATTATCAATATCACAGTTGGTAAAATGTGGAACAACTGAATTCTAACACAGTATTGGTGGGAGAGTAAATTGGTAAAAAGCATTTTGGAAAAGAATTCTACATTACCTAGTAATTTTCTTATGCTAACATACTTGTATAATTGTCGTAAAAGTAATTGCACAAGTTTTAAGCATTTAGCTTGATGAATTTTGACTAATACATATATATGTATACCTGTGTTACCATCATCTAGGTTAAGAAGTGGAACTCCCCTATCACTCCCAAAATGTTCTCTTGTGCCCTTTTCTCAGGCAACCACTATTCTGATTTTCTGAACAGCTTTATTGAGATAGAATTCACATACCATACAATTCACCCTTTAAGATTTGCATTTGAATAGTTTTAGTATTTTCACTGATATGTGCAACCTTCACCACAGGCAATTTAAAACACTTTCATCACCTCAAAAGGAAATCCCATGCCCTTTAAGTATCATCCTCCTATACCCCCAAGACCACCCCTACCCTAAGCAACCACTAATATATTTTCTGTCTCTGTAGATTTCCATATTCTTTACTTTTATATGAATGGAATCATATACAGTAACATGTAGTTGTTTTTTTTTTTTTTGGTTTTTTTTTACTGGCTTACTTAACATAATGTTTTCAAGAGTTCATCCATGTTGTAGCATGCATCAGTACTTCAGACATTTTTATGGCCAAATAATATTCCATTGTATGGCATACCAAATATTGTTGATGGACATTTGGGTTGTTTCCACCTTTTGGCTATTAAGAATAATGCTTGTGTGAACATTAATGTACAAGTTTTTGTGGAAACA